AGGTGAGTTTTCACTCTGTGAGATGGTCAGGAGTGTGTTCAATGCAGCAATTGGTTGCTGTGGGTTTGAATGGAAGGGATATGCTGCACAGGCTCCTGTCCACACCCCATTCTGCCCCACGCCACAGCCCCAGTGTGCCAGTCCAGCTGCTCTTCATGGCCCACTCCCTGTTGTCAAACAGCCCCTCATGGTCCCTCAGGCAGAAATCCCAAACTGGAGCCAGGGGCAGGCCAGGCCCTCACCTCCCCTTGACCCAGGGAATGAATCGAAACTCCTCCACTGCTGCTCAGTCCCCACCCTCGGCTGGGAGAGAGGAGGTAAGGGCGTACATACCAAGCTCATGAGGAAATTCCTCACAGAGAATGGCCACCGAGGTACTGATTCCCTGGAAGACAGAGACAGTGAAGGAAGCTCCAATGGCAAGGCCATCGATGAAGTTGTGCAGTCCATCGCTGAGCGTGATCATCCAGGCCAGAGTCGCAATGTCAGAGTAACGATTCCCCTTAAGCCAGTAACAGGGTCCTCCTGCTGTCTGCTGGAGATCCTGGATAGAGAGAGACAGAGAGAAACCAGACAACATATTACACACCCACGCATGATCCAACTCTCCGATCCTAATCCAATCCCCATCCTGACCCTAAACCACATGCACCCAATCCCAGCCAGCTCCCGATCTCACCCTGTTCCCTCATCCTAGTCCACTCCCGTTCCCAATGCCACCATGTACCCCAATCCCATCCCACCACCTGGCTGTGTAATCCCATTTTAATTGTTCCTCCTTCCCACCCCAAGTGTGCGCGCACACACACACACATTAAAACCACCAGGAACAACCTGGCAAACAGCTGACAGTCACTTGGTCTTGGTACAGGTTTGATACTGGTCCTCCCTGCTCTCTTCCCCGGGGCACCATGCCTTAGCCTAGAGTGGTCGGTTCCACAGGGGATCTGTATCCTTGTTCCCCTGCCCACTGACCTGCACCGACAAGGCCCCAGTGATTGCTGGCTCTCCCTCTGTGGAATCTGTAGAGAAAATCCTGTGGTCGCCATCTTCACCGTGACTCGACAGGGTGTGACTCAGATCTCCATTCTGGAGTTTTTCCATCACTCCATCCTCGTGATCACTCCTGCTGGCATATTGCTGAGCTCGGTAGTGAGTGTGATTTGGTGCTTTCCCCTATTTAAACAAGTGACAAACGGCTGTGGTCAGTAGTTATGATGCACACCCTAGCACCCCCCATTCACCCCTTAGATATCTCCTGTCTCCTGCTGACTGAGATCAGAGTTACAGAAGTGAAACAGGTCAGTATTCACATCCATCTGCTCTCATTCCAGAATGTTTAATCACTGGCCATGTTGTAATATTTATACCCAGTGATGTGCAGTTCAAACAACAGAATTGCATCATTGCTTCAGGGTCCTGAAGCCCTTAGCTAACACCATTCTACTTCAACTCAATATATCAGTATGTCCCTCTACTCCTTTTTCCCCTTTCTTATTGTCTGCTTTTCTATTAAGTGCAGCAAAATGATTAACTTGGTCCCTACGAGTTCCACATTCTCACCTCTCTCCCAAATTCTTGATTGGATTCAGCAATGCAAAAGGGGAAGAGTCGGGATGGTTGGTGGTGCTGCTGCTTTTCCCAGACAGCAGTGTTGGTGTAGAATTTGGGAATGTAAGGACCGTGCCTTTTTATTTTTAACTGTGGGCTGAAATGGTAAAAGAATTGTTTTCAAAACCAAGAATTATGGAATGGATTGCTGTGCTTTTTAAATGCAATTTACTGAACTGTAAGTCATGTTTATCCTGCTTGTTGGTTCACGCAGCGAGAGAGGCTGATTGCAGGCGGACTGGCACCACTGGCGGTGGGGGGGTGGTGTGGGAGCAGAGAAATTGTGCAAGGTAGGACTTGGTTGGCAACAGATCACTGATTGGTTTGTAAACAGTTGTGGATGTCAAAGACCATCTGCCTGACAAACTGATTGGCTCCTGGTAGCAGAGTAGCTTCTGATAGTGAACAATACTGGCAGATGCCTTCGGACTGCTGCAAAGGGCAGATGGAGCATCTTTCTCTCTCTCTCTCTAGTGCAATACCTAAAGGCTGAAGAAAGCCATTTTCTTTCCCCTCACCAGTGGCTGGAATCTATGGCCTTTACCCAATAAGTAAGAGATTTTGCAGTTTGTGTGCCAATTGTCTGTGCCTCCTACAAAGAAGTGAGAAGACCCCAGAGAGAAGAACAGAAAATCTTGACAAGCAAAAGGATCATCTCCGTGAATCCCAATGGTCAGGTGCTATTCAACAACTTCCACAGTTTTGTTTCCATTGGGTGGGAGATTAACAAAGGGTCAGTGAGGATGCTCCAGTTTTGATGGACATACAGACGGCTCAGTCATTCAGTACTCTACTCTGGGACAAACAACATTCCCTTGAAGGCCTGAGCAATACCCCTTCACCCCACTGCTATTCCCAAGCTCTGTGGGAATGGAGAAGAGAGAACCCTTTACTGTCCCAGATCTCCATATGGGGTGTGTGGGGACAGGGGGCAGAGATCTCCCTCTCTGATGCTGCACATCAACATCCAGAGGCTCCTGTTTTCTGTCATGAGGATTTCTAATACTCATCCTGAGAAAAGGGAAAGAAAAGGAGAAGGGAGAGTGTTTCCCTGTCAGGTGATGAATTCCCACTGGCTTTGGGTGGCACTTGTTCCCAGGAGATAGATCATTTAACTCAGAGATTTACCAATCACCTGACGAGTCAACAGGGCCAGTCACAGCTTTACCTTCTCTTTGGGTTTGAGCACCATCTTCAGGATCTTCTCTGTGAAGAAAAAGAGATAGAATCCTCCAAAGACCACTGCCGATTTTGATACATAATCAGCTTCCTTCGGGTCAAATCCAAAGGCCTGAGTGAGGGGAAAGCATCATCTTGTTAAAGAGACTGACAGCTATTACAATCACAACAACCGCATGGTTCACTAATGTCCTTTAGGGAAGGAAACTGCAGCCTTTACCAGTCTGACCTACATGTGACTCCAGACCTACAACAATGTGGATAACACTTAAATGCACTCTGGGCAATTAGGGACGGGGAATAAATATTGGCCCACACATCCTGTGAATAAATAAAGAAGCACAACATTTGTCCCTCCCACAGCCACACATACAATGCCCCCCACCCCCAAGGAAGAGAATACTCTGGATTCCCATCAAATCTGACTGAATTCCCCAGCTGTTTAAACTGGACCAGTATCAGGTCCTTTGCAGAGCTAGACAAACAGTGCAGACGGCACTCAAGTCACTGTAGGAGGAGCAATCAGAAGGAGGGGGAGGAGGGTCTGAGGAAGACAGGGTGGGTCAGGCAATCAAAGAAAAGGGTCAGAGGGAGCAGGAGGTCAGAGGGAGACAGGATGGGTCAGGGAGACAACAAGGAAAGTGGTCAGTGGGAAGAGGGGGTGGGTGGGGATCAGAGGCTCAGGGGCTGGTCAGAGGGAGGGAGTATGTAGTCAGACGTTGGGGGTGGAAGGGGACAGATGGTTAGAGGGACATGGAGAAATGGCTTTGACTGAACAAGAAAACCCATGGGAGCTGGGCCGGTTTCAGGGGAGTTGTCTGTAGAATGTGACCAGAGTAGTCGTTACTCCAATGTCCCCTCACTGCAGCTACTTCAGGGTTTGTCAGCAGCTCCAGATGACGGCCTGCAGACTGACCTGGGACCTCAGCAAAGGTGCCTGTCTCCGTGTCTGTAGGCATACTGCTGGGGTCATGAAGGGGCAGCCTCAAACGGGCTGACTGGCAGGACCCACGTTCCACATTCAGCTGTCCCATCATGTTCTGGGTCATGGTGGGTTTGCTGGACAGAGGCAGGAAATGGGACTAGGGAGCTCTCCCTCATCTCCTTGCAGCAAGCTTTGCCAAAGTTGATTAGATAGGGCAGATGTTCGCTAGCTGTCCCACATTAAAAACAAACAAAAAAAAAATCTCAATGTAAGTACAAAGGTAATACAATCTGATTGGCCCCAGTCACATGAAGTCACCTCAAACCACATTTGGGAAGCCAAACAACTGGCAGTCACAGATCAGGAAGCTTCGCAATGATATCCCCGGTGTCAAATAACGCAAACACAATCAGGAACAAAGGATTTAAGTAATGGCAAGCCACAACCTCGATCAGTGTGCATGGAGAGAGGGCTTCAGGTTCACTTGTCTCTCAAAGCTCCAGCATCAGATGTTTAATTCGGATCTCTGGGAATCCAAATTGAAAAAAGGGTCATGAGATGCAGTGGTAACGTTCCTCCCCTCAGTTCAGGAGTTCAAGTCCCACCTCCAGGGAGATGTGTGAGAACACGTCCACTCAGGTTAATTTAAATTTACTTTTTGGCCTTCAGTAACTTTCTCTGCTTGTATGGAGACCAAGCCCAGCTTCCCCAGATTCTCCGTGTAAGTAAAGTCTGTCATTGCTGGTACTGCCTGAGTGAAGCTGTCTGTATCCTGTTCAGGCCCCCTTATCCTTCCCAAAGTGCACCTTCCAAAACCCACAGTACAACCACAGCTAAGCCTAACCAGTGGTTTCTTAAGGATTTAGTGTTACCTTTTGTACTCCCTGCCTCTATTAATGAAACAAGGAATCTCATAGGTTGCTTATAACAAATTACAGAGGATGTAGAAGGCAGAAATAGGCCATCCAGGCCAACCATCCCCTGCTTGTGTTCATGCTCTACTCCAGCATCCTCACATTGATCCTCATCTAAATCGGTCAAACTAAGTCTCTATTCCCAGCTCCCTCATGTACATCTCTAGCTTTTCCTGAAATGCATTTATAATCGTGACCTCAACCCCTCCCTGGGAGGAGAGAGATTTCCACATTCTGACCCCTCCCTGGGAGAGAGATTTCC